GAACCTTTTTGGCGCGGACACATGTTCTCTACGGGTGTCAGAGCCGTCAGTTGCAGTTCTCACCCGGCCAGATCCAAAACATGGAGGGCACCCTGGCAGGTACACGACGGTATATGGGGACATACCTGTTACTCCACATCAGCCCATACTCGGATTGATGAGCAGATGAATCAGGAAAGAAGTAGAGGAGGAGCAGAAGGGACAGAGCGATACGCAGTCGGAAGAAGAATATAAGTTAAGATCGACCAAGATCCAGATGGCATGTTTGGATCTTTTGCATTGAGCTATCTGGACCAGCGGGTTCAGGTCCGGATTATGAGTGCGCGCTGGTAGACGCGTTGGCGTCGTTGGGACGGGGGGAGTATGGATGGCGCGACGCGGAAGAGCTACCACCAATATTGTCACGGATCTTCACGGTGGCAAGGTTATGCCACACGGTGCTCAACGACCAGGGTCAACTTCCGCCCCCAGATGCAACAGCTCGGCAAGCTGATGGCGGCCAAGACACAGATGGTGCTGCTGACGGCCACACTGCCACCCGGTGAGGAGGAGAAGCTGTGGTCCCGCATGCACTGCACCCGAGCGGACATATCATTGTTCCGGGCGCGGACATGCCGTCCAAATGTGGCATACCGAGTGTGGCAACCCATCATTGAAGGGTCAGAGTACGGTGGGCTCAACCGATGGTTTCAAGCACCCAGCGTGGTCAGGTTCATCCAGGACCGCATGAGATGGACGGGAGAAGGTAAGGGGGTGGTGTACTGCCAGGCAGTGAATCAGGTCACGATGATGGCAAGCACATTGAGATGCGGGGCATATCACCACCACCAGATCAACAAGGCCGGCATACTGGAGTGTTTCCAGCAAGGTCAACACCAGGTCATCGTGGCGACAAGTGCACTGGGCATGGGAATCGACATCCCCAACATCCGCAGCATCATCCACGTCGGACGGCCGCGATCATTGCTGGATTATGGACAGGAGAGCGGGCGTGCAGGGTGTGATGGACAGACCAGTGAAGCCATCATCATTGAGCCCGAGGGTATCAGTGCAGCAATGATATGGTCAAGAAAGGATGCACCATCACTGCTGGACCAGAAGCTGGTTGAGCGGTACATGCAGGCAGGGGGTGAGGGGGGTGATGAACCGATGGCTCGATGTCGACGGGTGGTGCTGGACCGGTACCTGGACGGGGAAGTGGAGGGTTACATGAGACGGCACTGCGGTGATCGACACACAGGGGAGTCCCAGTGTGACGGGTGCGATGCCGAGTGGGAGGCCAGGGAGGCCGTGTTCACCCCCAGCCCAGGTGGCACGCCCACGCCCACACCCAGTCCAGGCTACAGTTCAAGAGCAACAGCCAAGGATGACTCCAGCGAGGATGAAACCAGCCAGGAGTCAGAGATGGAGAGCCAGCAGGGTGAAACCCACATCAGATTCAACGGCACATGCAGTCCCAGAATGGCCAGAAGTGTGAGCAAGAGCACAGACGACAACATAAATGAAAGCATCACCAAGAATGAAGCTTCAACTTCAGGCGGGAGCAGCCCGGGTCAATGGAACAAGCAAGAGTCAAGTGAAATCAGTGAAGACACCAGGGGCATCCCATCAACAACCAGACAGACATTCCACAAGCAGGATGTCCGTCGAGGCCGGTTCATCATCACACACCAGCAGCGAGGGCAGAGGGCATTGATGGATGAGGAGGTTTTAGTGGAAGAGGCGCAGAGGTGGAAGGATCAGTGTTTGATATGTGCAAGTGGCAAGCGGGAGTTTGACCATGAGCTGTACCAGTGTCCCCACGAGGAGAGCCAGGAGGCAAAGAGATGGATGATGACAGTGCGGAGCAAGATCAAATACACACGGTATTCCGGGTGCTTCCGCTGCGGGATGCCGCAGTCCATATGCAACAGCTGGAAGACACAGAGACAGTGTCCGTACAGGGGATTTTTGATCCCGACGGTGGCAATGATGATGTATGGGTGTCATGCAGGGCAGATGAAGCAGGCGTGGAGACAGCGGCTGAGAGAGTTCAATGTGGATGCAGATGATCAGGAGGCGGTGATTGAATTTTTGGGACAGAAGGTTGAGGGGCAGGGCATCGAGCACAACCGGCTGGTGGAGATGTTTTGTTGGCTGCGAGGAATATATCAGGAGGCAGAGAGGGGGAAGATGGAGTCAGAGGGTACAGAGGTCAAGTGATATCATGGGTGAGGGGCACATCACGGGTGAGAGGCACCACAGGAGGATGAAAGATGTATATATATATAAAGGCAGGTGA